AAGGTGTCCCCTCTGACTGAAGGCTTTCCCACACTCAGTACATTCAAAGGGTTTATCTCCACTATGAATTCTCTTATGTCTATTAAGTCTTCCCCTTATAAGGAAAGATTTCCCACATTCATTACATTTAAAGGGTTTCTCTGCAGTATGAATTCTCTTAAGGTTTGACCCCAGATTAAAGTCTTTGCCACACTCATTACATTCAAAGTGCTTTCTTCTGGTATGAATTCTCTTATATTCAGTCAAGATTCCAATAGTTTTCCCATATTTATTACAATTATGATATTTCTTTCTAATGTGAATTATCTTATGTTCAGTAAGATTTGATCTTTTGCCAAAGGTTGTCCCATCTTCAGTGTGTTCACGTAGTTTTTCTCCAGCACGCATTTTATGAAATTTAATTAGATCTGAGTGGTAACTAAAGGGCTTCATGTATTTTGTATACTTACAGAGGTTCTTCTCTAAGGAGAATGTATTGCATGTAAGTGGGGTGGAACAATCCTTGAAGCATTTTCCAAGCTTCTTATATTTATGGAGACTGTTCCCCATAGTGCCTTTCCTTAGTGCAACAAAGCCTGACCCCAAATGCAAACTTCTCCCCAATGTATTACAATGAAGAACACACACTTTATTAGCAGTTTTGCCACGAGTGGTTGTTACTGGTCTGGATCGTCTCTCCTGCTTATCCTTCTGCTTCTCTACAATAACTTCAAGTCTCCTTGTTTCTCTCTTCTTGGAATGCTGAGGATTACCCTTTGGCAGTCTTTTTTTATTCGATGCTCCTGTGTAAATGCCTTGTATCAGACTTGAGTCCTTTCTTTCAAACCTGGCCTCTTCAATAAAGGAATCTGAAAAGAAACAAACAAAAAAATTGTCACTCACTACTGTTTGCTGGGCCGAGGCAAAGGAATCCTCTTTAGAGGAAGTTCTAGTTTCTGTCTCTTATAAAAGAGAATGATGCTCAACTTGGACCAGGGGGAACAGTGTCTTCAGGAAGTGAATCCAGAATGGGTGAGATCATATTGTGTACTCTGTTTAGCTCTCAGGTGCCCCATTACATGAAGGGCACTGATGAACTGCAGAGTATTCACAGAGCACGGTCAGCACAGTCATGGGCCCTGGAGCCATCTCACAGAAGGATCAACAGAAGGAACTGGGGAGGTTTAGCCTGGAGAAGACTTTCTTTTTTTTTTTTTTTTTTTTGACTGGACTTACCACCTATGTTATAGAAGTCTTTTACTATCAGCTATCCATTAAAATAGATGTTCCTGAGCTCCCCTCCAACTCTGTTATTCTCTGACATATCTAAAGTAATGTAGCTTTCTCAATTATAAAGAGTGGGGATTTTTTAATGTACTCAAGAAACATAATTATGGAAAAAGGTCTGATTATATAAAAATGAAAAAAGTAAGTATAAAAAAAAATTAAAAAACATACATTAACATCTTAAAATCATTCAAAAATTATATATCTATAGAGAAAATAGACTATGATCTGACATGAGGAGGTAATGGGACAATGGTCACAAGCTTCTTCAATCATCTCAGTCAATCAAGCCCTTGTGATTTGGAGAGGAAAGCAGCATGATGGCAGGAAATTGAAAGCAATTTCTCAGCATATTTTTTCCCATTCTCATTTCTGTTTGAGGAAATAAAGCCCTGGGGATACCTGCCCCATCCTGGGAATATGAAACCAAACAACAAAAATGACAACAGGACAGATGAGAGTTGAATGGAAAGGGTCAGGAGGCACAAGAGTGGACAGACCAGCTTAAAGAACAGCTGTCATCTGATCCTGAGCATTTCCTGCAGTTGTGAGCCGGGCCTGACTAAGGCTTGTCTGGTGGCTCAGGTTGAAGATTTGAATAAAATGAGATACTCAGACATCACCCAACAATCAAAAAAAGTTGACTAACAATAGCGTGAACAGGATACTTAGCAAGGATACAGGACTAGTTCAGGTAAACATGGCCTCCCTTAGCAGATATAGGTCAGAAGAGAGTACTGAGTCTGAAGGGTTTGCTGACTCGCGTGAAGTATTCGTCCAAAGTCCAAGGGCCTCTGACTACTTGTGGGCTGGCCTTTTTATGCCCCAGCTGGCTGGGAAGCTGAGGTGACAGCTCAAACCAGTGTCCTGGACTGATAACATCTTGGGATGCCTTCTGTCCTTCAGGGAAACACTAGCCCAACCTACATGGCAATGACCCTAATAGACACTACTCCTATTACAGCTACTTCCTCTGAGCATCCTGGCTGGGGGGAAATAGTTCATTACTGCTGGCCAAGATATGGCTGAAAAGAACTGTGGTCCTCCCATGCCAGGGACAGACTCACTAACTACAGCACCCCCCAGGAGATAATGAAGTTTGGGGAAGGAGCTGGCTGCCTTCATTGGCCATCTCCTGCAGCGGAGAGACTCACTAAACAGCATCCCCCAGTGGGATGACAATAGTACTTGGGCTTTGATGAAGACAGCTAATTAGACTAGCAAAGGAGAGAGACTAGCAGAGAAGCAACAGGCGACAGGGAACAGCAGAGACACAATATCCTACAGGAAGCAATGGAAATGAGAGGCCTGATGGAAAGTAGGCGCAGTGGAGAGGAGCGTAATAACAATACTGGAAGACATTTGTGGCCTACAAGTTATCAGAGGCACGCGTTCTTTGCCCACACAGATGGCTTGGTCATACATGTAGCCTACATGTGAGCCTGTTCATAGGTGTGCCCTGGCTACATGGCTTCCCTATATGTAGATGCCACATCATGATTCCTATTTAAGTCTACGCTCCCCAGTGAAGCTCGAGTTTTATGGGAAAAAGTGCTATTTATCTTTATTACCATAATATTTTATGGCATGCCTCTGCTTTCTGTCAGCTGCTTCCTCTGGCTGACTAAAAAAATAAATGCATTGTGGAGTCTTCTGAGCTGTTGTTTGGAGAAGATTCTGATCCCCAAAAAAGTACATATTAATTGGGATAGCATTCTAGGAGCCCAAGGGTATGATTGGGTTGCCTAGGAGCTACATATCCAAGGAAAACATTACTTATATATTAAAGTATGGGAAGGCAGAATATTCAATAAATAATGGAAGTTTATAGAAGCAAACACAATAATTTATAATCTCATAAGTTTTTAAAAAATCTTACATGTATATTATTTTAATTTTTCTTTTAACATATTTAATACCTTTGCAAATGAAAATCATATTGAAATTTAAATTAAAGAAAATAAAACTAACAAAGGGCCTACATGGAAAAATATTAGTGTTAAAGAAAAATATCCATAAGTTATAAGGAATTGATCATAATATGAGAAATCTTAATTTTCTAATGGATAACTAGTTGGATTATATGAACATGCAATTCACAAAAGACAGAATACTGCTGGTGTTTTCCTATCACTAGCTTCTGGTTTTATGTATATGTATATTATTTTTATCTTATTCAAAATGGCTCACCTAAGCCCAAACTTTATAGGATTTTTAGTATATGTGATCATTGTACTTTATCAAAGGAGTTTTCCACATGGATTGACATAATCATATGGCTCTGGATGGTACTGTTTTTAAAAAATTAATCATATTGTTTTCCTAATGTGGAACCATTCCTATATCCCTGGTAAAAGTCCAACTTGGTAATACTGAGTAACTCTTGCACATATTGATTTTTGCTGGTATTATATTTAAAATTTTGGCATAAATAAAATGCATTAGAAGGATATCAGAGACTTCCTCTTCCCCCACTGTCATTTGACATAATTCCAGAAATAGGAACAACATCATTGAGACCAGGAAAAGAAATTAAAAGGCATAAACATGAGCAAAGAAGAGACAAAAATATACCTATTTACTGACAATGAGACTTACTTTTAAAAAACCCAGAGGATCAGCAAAGAAACTCATTAAGACAATTAATAACTTTACTAAAGTAGTAACTACAAATGAAACTCATAAAACCAACAGCATTTCTATGTAGCAACAGGAAAATTCAGGGGAAAACAATTGAAAGGGAAATACCAAACAAAAGATATTTAAAAGATTGAGTCAATTTATTAAGGCACACTCAAGACTTAAATAAACGTAGTTATCAAACATTAACAAAATAAAGAATGACATTCCTTATAACAAAGTAACATCTCAAATAATTCGACCAATGTTAACTGGTCATGGTTGGGCCAAGCCAACATAATAAAAATGACTGAACTACATAAATTCATTTACAGATTTAATGCCATACCAATAAGACTACCAGGAGTATTTTTTTTATTGAGCTAGCTCTGAGGTAGGGAGCCTGTGGCCCTCAGGCCACACGTAGCCCTCCAGGTCCTCAAGTGCGGCCCTTTGACTAAATCCAAACTTCATAGTTCCCTACTCCTGAGCTAGATAAAATAATAACCAAATTCATCTGAAATAATAACAATTGACCATTTCAAGAGAAACAATGAAAAAAATATATATGGGATTTTGCTTTCTGCCTTTTACATCCTTGGCATATAGGTCTACTAGTGGAATTTCTGGTTTAAAGAGCATGGACATTTTAGTCATGTTCTTGGTGGCTAATGACAAAACAAGTACACTAATACGTTGTTGGTAGAGCTGTGAAACAGTCTAACCATCTTGGACAACCTATTTGGAATTATGCCCAGAAAGTGACTAAAATGCCTATACCCTTTGACCCAGATTTCATACTGTTACTCACATACCCCAAGGAGATTAAAGAAAGAAGCAAAAGGCCCAAACACACCAAAATATTGATATAAGCATTTTCTATACTAGAAAAAAACTGGAAACAAAGAAGACGCCCATTAATTGTGGAACAGCTAACAAATCAATAGTCTCTGAATCTAATCAACTATTGTTGCATCATAAGATAGGGGGAGCACGATAAACTTGGAGAAGAAGGGAAAGACTTTTTTGCAGAAGTGGAAGGCACATATCAAACATCACTTGGACTTGTAGACTTGTTTGAAGGATTGGTCAGTTTTTTGGAAAGGATTTTTTTTTTAATTTTTTGTTACAAGGCAGCAGGGTAGGGGAAGGGATATATGTGAAAATGAAGGTGACAACAATTTTAAAAATTAATTTAAAAAAGATATCAATAATTTTTTTGGACAAAAAGGAATACAAATAATCAAAAGCCACAAGAAAAACTATTCCAACTCTCCAATAAGTGTAAAAATTCAAATAAAAACATCCCTAAGAGCCAAAATAAAATTAATTAAAAAGAGTTATAAAGTTCTATACTAGTGGAGCTCTCGATAAGAAGGCGTGAGATTGCACAACTACCAGAGCTAGGAAATGGGGCGATCTTTTGGAAAAGCACGCGCCATTCTGCGCTACGCCTGCTCACACCTGGAGTCTAGGAGTGCCATCGCAAGGGTGCCACAGTGACCAGGGCAAGGCCACTTCCACAACCCCCAACTGGCCCAGTTCTCCATCACTCACCTGGACAGGAGTCGCTGGGGACTCTTCCCACGGGCCTGGACAGGGATCTTCCTCTCTCCAACAGGAAGATCAAGTCCAGTTTGGAAACGGGAACACTTACACCTACAGAGAGAAAGGCACAGAAAGCAAGGTGAGAATTCAGTTTTATTGGTGGAAAACCAGGCAGCTAAGGAAGCACGGAGAGCAGTACAAAGGATCTCGGAATCACCCTCCAGGATTCCAGGGCATTATGAGTCACGACTCTGGGCCCAGCCTGCTGTCCATCAATGTCCTCCACCCCAGATCTTCATGGGGTAAGCAGATAGCATGCCCATCCAAAAGCACGTCATCCTTTGAAGGCCAGGGTCACACGGTCACCGGAAAGTGAGGAAGGAGCCACGTTACAGAGGGCCTTACACAGAGGAGGCTGCCTTGGATCCTGGAGGCCACAGGAAGCCACTTAAGCTTCCTGAGCCTGGAGGGAACCAGGTCAGACCCAGGTTTGAGGAAGATCTCTTTGATGGCCCAGAGGAGGATGGACCAGACTGGTTGGAGATGAGAAAAGGAAACCAACCAGAAGGCTACTGTGATAAATGACCAACCAAGAGGCAGGTTCAGAAGAATCCTGGATGACTTATGTGAACTGATACAGAAGCAAGTGAGCAGAACCGGCAGAACGATTCAGTCTACAATAACAAAACACTGGGAAAGACTTAAGAACCGTGTCTGACGCCATGACCACCAATGATTCTGTAAGACCAGTGATGAAACACGGTACCCACCTCTGGACTCAGGATGACAGAGGATTTTTGGACATGGGCAACGTGGGACATTGTTTTACCTGTCTGTTGCAAGGCAGAAAAAAAAAAAGGAGGTGAGAATGTGGGAGAGAGTCGGGGTGTGGGGGGTGAGAAATAGGGCTGCCAATAAAAGAAGAAAAAAAGCAGGAGAAAAAGAAGGCCATGGAGGGATTTGAAGGACAAATGGCCAGAAGGGAACAGAGGGAGATGGCAGACGGCATAGCTTGGGAGGTTACACGCTGGAATGATTCTCTACTGAAAGGAAAGGCAGGCTGGACAGAACGGACAGCTGGGGAGTCATGTCCAATACTTTTTCTGGTTCTTTGCATATGGAGATGCGGGTTCAAGCTAGGGTTTGTTACAGGACATCAGCAGCTGTGGGAATCAGCAAAGGCTCCAGGTGTGAGGAAGGGGGATCACACAAGAGAGAGCCCGCCAAGACTCCCCAGGGGACAGATGCACTTACCCAGGGAGACCAGGTTCTCGTACGTCTCCAACATCACATCCCTGTACAGGGCCCTGTGGGCAGGCTCCAGGCATCTCCACTCCTCCCTGGTGAAGTCCACGGCCACGTCCCTGAAGGTCACGGACACCTGAATTCGACATAAGCAGACACACCCCTGCTGAGCCAGGGACCACTCCTCTATGGGGGCCTGACCAGCTCCCAGGCTCGGCAGTGTGTGGACAGCTTTCCTCCACGGCGCAAGCCCAGCCTCCAACTCTCCAAGTCTGGGGTTCCAGAAAGTCCACACCAACAAATTCCTTCCACCACAAACCCCAACAAAGTTGTCCCTTCGCCCCTCGTGCTCTGAACCACCCTGGGGAATCAGCCTCCACATGACTCATGTCAGCGATCAAACCCCAAATATTAACTTTTAATTTGCTAGCATTGTGTGGCATGACTGATCTCCTGACTTGGAGGGCAGTACCCCACAACCATCACACTGGGCATTCTCCCATTCCATACTGTTTAATGGCCCCCGCCCTCTCTTGTTGGACCTGGCGACCCAGAGTGCATTCTGCCCCCCGTGTTACTACGGCATCGACGGACCCCCTACAACGCGCTGAATCCCAAAGCCTCGGCGCCCTCTGAGAGGAGGCACTATGCTTTGGTGGGAACTTACCTGAAACTGGGCTTGGAGGGACCCAGGAGTCAGGCCTTCCTCATCCTTCATCCTCACGGAGTCTGGAGGCCGAGCTGGAGGATGAGAAGGGCTTTGTGGGGGAAGGAGGCCGGCCCTGCCTCCCCCTACCCAGGCCAATCCTCAAGATCACCACCCCCCCAGCCTCCCTCCTCCTCCGGAGCTGCTGACCCCTGCTAGAAGAGGGCAGAAAGCAGTGTCTCAGGACATGCCTTCTTCATTGAACCCTTTCACTGGGGGCTGGCACAAAGGGGGCACTTAACGCAGCCTGCTGATTGACTCAATGACTGATGGACTGGGTGAAGCATGGTGTTCCCGGGGCACCCTCCCCCCGAGCCCCCACACTTCTGTGAGGCTCACCTCTCTGCCCAAGCCTTTGGGCCTCGGTGCCAGGGGCCACCCCCGGGCTCTGGGGAGAGGGCTCAGGCAGGAGGCAGCTCTGCAGCGGGGCTGGGGAGGCATCCTTCATGGTCTCTTTCCAATAAAGCCAGAGACTGGGCAGTCAAAAGTAAGATCACAACTTCATTCTGGGCCTCAGAATCCTGTCCCCATCTGGGGGCTGTAACAACAAAAAGAAAGGTTTGTTACACCTCTACTACAGGCCAGGCGCTCAGCTAAGCCATTTACAAAGATTACCTCCTTCGATCCACACAACAAACCTAGGAGATAGGGGGGCTATTATTATCCCCATTTTACAGATGAGGAAACTGAGGCAGGCAGAAGTAAAGAGATTTGCTCAGGGTCACACAGCTAATAAGTTTGAGGCTGGATTCGAACTTAGGTCCCAGCACGCAGTCCACTGCACTACAGCTGGGCCCCTGGACACTCTTATCCAGAGCAAGGATGGAGGCGCACACTATAATCCGGACCCTTCAGCCCCTTCAGAATGGAGTGATGGGACCTGGACCCCGAATTTTCCCACACATTTTCAGCTGCCCAGATCACTGGTGCCTCTGCCTAAGGCCTCTGGCCCATCCTGGCCCATGTAGATACTCATCAATCCTTTTAACTGCCCTTTCACTGTGGTTCTCTGACCACTGAACTTTCTGCATTGCTGCACCTGGCCCACCGCATGCTACCCACCACTCCTCAATCCCACCCAGATCTCGCCACTGCCTTTTCTTGTTGGTAGGAATCTTACACACCCCCACTCCCACCCCATTAAATTGCGCAGATTCTTAGACTCTCACTGCCACAATACAACACAATAAACTGTACTTTGACTGAAAGAAGGCTTGAGTGGTCGAATTCTTTCAAGGCAGACCCCCAGTACCCTTGCATTTCAGGGTTCCCTGCACCCCAAACCATAACACATCTCTCCACTCACTTGACCAGGTTTGGGAGGTCTATGATTTCACACATTTACAAAGGTCATTCTGGGCAGGGTCCTGGCTGCTGGAGGGGGGGTGTTGGCCCAGGGCACCCACAAACAAGGGGGAGACCCCTCAAACAGAAGAAGATGAAGTTGGGTAGGCCCGGGGGCAAAAGGGAGGGGGCATCCTTTGGATGGACTTTCCTGTGTCTAGAGCGAAGTGGGAGTGGAATAGTAATCATGATAATAATAATTATTATAGTTAACATTTATTAAGTGCCTACTGCATACACTAAAATATAAACGGCATTTCATTTGGTTCCCACAACAGCCCTGAGAGGCAGGTGCTGTTATTATCCCCATTGTACAGATGAGGAAACCGAGGTGAACCATAGTAAAGTGAATTGCCCAGGGTCTCACAGATAGTGACTGAGGCTGGATTTGAATTCAGAGCCCGGTGTTATGTTCACTGTGGTGGCGCCCCCTGGTTGTTTAAGTTAAGTTGGGTCAGGGAGGTGCAGAACTTTAAATGACCCAAACAGATGCTTATAGTTGATCCCTGGGGTACTAGGGAGCCACTACAATTTCTACAGTAAAGGAATGACCAGACTACTAAATCAAGGGGGGGGAGAGAAAAAAAATCAGGTTCCGCGCGTGCGCACGCCCTCTCCCCCCCCCGCTCATTTGGGGGGCGCATGCGCATTTCCTCCCTCTCTCGCCCGCTCGCCAGTCCGCCCACTCACCAGTCCGCCAGCTGGGCCGCCTGCCTGGAGGAAGGGAGGAAAGGGCTAGCGGGAGGAGGCGCGTGTGCACTCTCTCTTCCTCCCTCCACTCACCCGGGCTCCGCCACGCCTGGACACGAGGCTGTTAAGTCGGAGCCTCACGGACTCCAGCCACGGAAAGACGATGCGTCCCCTCAAATGCGCAGGAGACCGGCTAGGACAACTAAGGCGTCCGAAGGCATTCTGGGAAATGGAGTCCAGAGGCCAGAAGGCTCGCAGCCGGCTCTCACTGCGCACGCGCGCTGCCGAAGGGACTCCATCTCCCAGGGGGCTCCGAGGCCTTTCTTTCAAAAGAGATTTGCGTCTGCGCACTGTGAGGAGGCGGAGTTTTTCCTGAATTTACCGCTAGATGGCGCAGTGGAGAGAGCACCAGACCTGGAGTCAGGAGGGCCTAAGTTCAAAACCAACCTCAGACACTTACAAACTGACCTTTGAGCAAGTCGCTCTACCTTTGCCTCTCTCTGTTTACTTCTCTGTAAAATGAAGATAACAATCGCACCTCCCTCCCAGGGTCGTTATGAAGCTCAAATGAGATTAATATTTGTAAAGTGCTTTGCAAACCTTAAAGCTACTTAAATGCCAGCTATTGTGTGTTTAATTATTATACATGCTTTGGGGACTCCCAGGAGGTCACCCGGGAGAACTCCCTCCTCTGGAGCAGAGGGCAGCCCATTTGCATGTTCTCACTGTGGGTGACTCCTGTCCATAACTCCTGCTAGCCAGCTCTGGGCACCTTAGGTTCCCAAACTCCCTTCTTCCCTCCTGTCTCAGTTTCCCCTCATGTCAAGACTGTCTCTCCTATCTTTTCATGCCCAGCACCGGCACTGTGCATGGCACACACACGGAAGGAGGCTTCTGAATTACTGCAGTCCATCACACTTTTCATCATTGCTCTTCCAGCTTCCAATGGCCCTCTTCCCAATGGCACGTGCCATCCGTCCAGTGTCCTCAGGGTCAGTTTCTCACTGGGTCCTTGGGCTGTTGGGTCAGTGATTTTTGTGAAGCTCTCATACACTCTTTTTTCCATCTCCTAAACACCAATTTAATTCCATAAGCATTGATTAAGCACCTACTAAATTCCAGGCACCATACTAGGTGCTGAGAATAGACCCTTAGGGAGCTGACATACCTTTGGAGGAATATAAGACATACACAGACAACCACCTATAAGGTGGATAAGATCATAGATTTAAAGCTGGAAAGGACCCTGGAGGTCCTAGTCCACCCTGGTCGACCCTCTCCCTTTTATGGATGAGGAAACAGGCCTAGAGAGATTCCATCACTTCTTTGAGGGCACAAAGAAGGATTTGAACCCAGTTCCTCCGACAGATAAAGGACTCTTTCCTAGGTGCCATGCTGCTTCCTGTTATTCAGAGTTCATAGGGTCACAAGTGTAGAGCTGGAAGGGGCTTTAGAGGTCATCTGGTCCAACGCCCTCATTTTACTCTGGGGGAAACTGAGGCCTAGGGAGGTCCATTCACCCAGGAAGTAAGCCAGCATTTAGACTCAGGTCGTATGACTTGAGTTGGGCATTCTTTCTGTTTCACTCCCTGCCCAGCACACTGTAGGCGCCTAATAAATGCTCATTGGAGCAGGAGCAGGAGTGTAGCGGAAAAGACACTCAACAAAGCCTGAACAACAGGACTTGGGGGTGAGTTGGGGGCAATCTGGGGTGGGATTTTTTTGGGGGAGGGATCAGTTTTTTCCTCTTCCTATGAGATCACCAGGACAGAGAGAGGTTGCTGTTCCCCTTCCCACACCGTCCTGTTTCCAGAGACTTGGCTCTGGAAAGAACATTGGACTAGGAGGAGTCTGGAAAGCTGAGCTCTAGTCCCAGCGCCACAACGAACCAGCTGTGTGCCCGGGGGTAAATGACTTCCCTTTGCCGCATCTCTATTTTCTCCTCTGTAAAATGAGAAGATGGCCCTAGCTGTGGCACCTTGCCCCAACTGAATTAGTCAGAAGGTGGCGTGCTGTCACAGCATGGAGACCTCCAGCGTGGCTGGGGATGGGAGTGGGGCTGGCCTTCTAGAGGCAGAGGGAGAGGGCCTGCCAATGGCCATGGGGAGGTCTCAGTAGGCATCCTTCCAGCTGGGCATCCTAAGAGTCTCATGGGACATGGAGGGAGGCAGACCAGGCAGTGCTAAGACCCTCATCTGGTGCCTTCCCTGCAAATGTCCCATCCAGCTTCACCACGCACTCTTATGGACCTAGTGCCACATTCTCTCCGCCATTGCAGTAGGCGCGCCATGAGGGCAGGGACCATGCTATGTCTCCTGAGTGCTTAGCGCAGTGCCTGGCACAAAGTGAATGCTTTCTGACCGTGAGTCGGGCTGAGTTCTTCCATCACAGGGAGGAAATAAATGACCCGCTCACCTCTTCTCCTGCCTAATTCCATTGGTCTGTGCTCCAGGCAGCAGCAGCGCCCCTGGATTTGCAAAGCCTTAGCTCCTTGGGGCCCACGCTTCTCCTGCCTGGCGGTCATCGTCCCTGGGAGCACTTCAGCTGGTCAGTGAGCCCCGCCCTCTCTTGCGGGTTCTAGAGATACCGGGTACCCAAAGAGCCGGAGATTAGGCGAGTAAAGAGGGCTGGAGCCGTGGAGCAGGGCACAGGATTGCGCTGGCTTGTCATGTTGCTGGCTCACCTCAAGCTTCAGGATCTTTTCCCAGGCTCACGTCAAGCTCAGGACAAACAAGAGTTAGGGTGAGGACGCTTCACTTTGGGCAGATCCTTTTCTTCCTGTCGCGGCCGCTGCAGTGGAGAGCATGAGACCAGCTCAGTGCTCAGTAACCCGGAGACTCATGGATGAGGCGGGAGACAGCAAGGTGGAAGAAGCTCCTGTTTATTGTAAGCTGGGTGTGACCTTTATAGCCCTCGAGGCACCTTGGGATTGCACGATCAGAGCCCTACAGCCAGTCAGTAGATCCCATCATAGCGTGCAGGCCTCGTGTCATGGTCGTGCACAAGATGTGCACGGGAACGCTTAGCCATACAGAGGAGAGCCGAACCAGCCATGATTGCTGCGTGATAGGCAGGGCACAGCCCTGTGACAATTCCTGTGACATCTTCCCCCAGTTGGACTGTAAGGGATAGAACTTTGCCTCCATGCCAAGGGAAGAGGGCCAAGCCGCCTGCCCTCGAGGCAAAACCGAGTGCTCTGTCCAAAAGAGAGACAGCGGGTCCAGCCCCGGGGGATTCTGGAACCAGCCTCTAATCTTCAAGGTGTGGCTTGGGAAAGACTGGACAGATTGATGGCCATCCCAGCCAACCAGATGCAAAGGCTGCCTGTCCTCCCTCCTGGGAGGAATCGGGCAGAGATTCCAGGTCTGAGCAGTAGCAGCCCATGGACTTCAGCAGCTGTCTGGACTTCAGCAGCTCAAGGTGGGGCAAGAGGTACTGGCTTTCCATGCTTGGGCTGATGGTTTGATCTTTCTTTTCTGTCTCTTCTTTTGTCCTCGATGCTTGATCACAGGCTCAGAAAGCCTGGCTCTAGAATTTTCCCTCTTCTATAATGTTCTATAATGGCACCAGGAATGGGACTGTCCGATGTGAACTAATCATCCGGAAGCAAAATTGTGGGATAAATTTCCTGCAGGGATGCCGGGTAGAGACTCGAAATGGGGCATGTTTGCCCGTAACCTATAGCTACTGGGTTCCAAATTTCAATACCCCCCCCGGCCCATGTATTCATTCTCTCTCTCTCTCTCTCTCTCTCTCTCTCTCTCTCTCTCTCTCTCT